CTCGATTTATTAATTCCATAGGAATTTGACAAATTGATTACAAAAGCTCTACCGACAAAACCCTCAAACCCTCGTCTTCAACCTAGGCCCGATTTCGCTGGTTTGCTTCTCTCAGCGGGCCGTCCGGGCTTGTCCGTGGACGGGACTCCACCGCACATCCATGGATCTGGTCGTGGTGCCTTCTTACTTCGTCTCAAGCCGTGGGAAGCTGGTCGGGTGGTCGACAATTTTTCTCATCTTGGTGAATCCCGCCGGCGATCTGGGGCGGTGGGGCTCGGTGGGGTGCGACGCCAGTGGGTGGAGGTGGCTTGGTTTGTTTGCGTTGCCACTGTGGAGGGACGGCTCTCCTTGTCGGTTTCCGCAGACGGGCTCGAGCTGGATCTCCGTTTCCTGTCGGGGTAGCCTAGTAACCTCCGGTTACTGGTTCATCGGCAAGGTCAGGTTGACAGATTGGGTTTGTGTTGGGGGCTCGGTGGGGGTGCTTGTTTCTCGCTCGGGTGGGGTCGGAGTACCTGGGCTTTGCTGCCACTTCTCCCCTTCTTCCCTTTTCCTTCGATGTTGAGTCATAGGGAGGCCCACCGTTTCAAAAATTGGCTAGTGGTGTTAGTCGGGTCTGGATCGGTGTTGGTATTGGCTAGTGGTGTTAGCCGGTTGAGGGGATTGTGGCAGCTTACGGTCGGAGTGCGGGTCGGGTCCTCTAGTTTGGTTCGGAGCTTGGGTCTTCGTCTTGCTAGGCTTTAGGCAGTGGCGGGCGTGGTTCCTGTGCTTTGCATTTCTTTGGGATCGGCTTATGTCCGCTGTTCATTCCGGATGCGTTGCTGAGGGAGGGCTGTTGTTCTTTAGTTTTAGTTGTTTTTTGCTTGTTCTAGGATTGTTTTTAGTTTGTTTGCGTTATGTTTTCAATCTTGTGTTTTTAGTTTGGGCAGTTGCCTCTGTGAGCCCGAGTGTCAACTTATTATCCTGTTGGGATCAGACACTCGGGTATTATCCCGTTGGGATCTTTTTTAGTTTTGTTTGTGTAGTTGATTTAGTGTGGTTGTGTTTTTAGTGTGTTTTCCCGAGTATTACCCTGTTGGGGTCGGCTCTAGGCGATCTCCGGATATGCCTCCCAGTTTTCTAGTCTCTGGTTGTACTATTTAGCCTTTAGCTGCTTTCTTTTCGCACTTTGTGCGGTTTTATTAATATAGTACCTCTGTCGTTTCGGGAAAAAAAAAAGAGGCTCTCGATTTAATTCATTTTTTGCTACGACATTTCAAATAATTTTTGTGTGAAATGCACTGTTTATTTTTTTAGCATGATAAAGAGTGTCGATTTTTTGGCATAAAAAATCTTATAAATAATTGCTTTTACTCAACTACTTAAATTTTTTGATTTAGATATTTTATACAAAAATAAATTTATTTTATTTAATTAAAAAATATAATTTTTATATTTATACTTATTATTCACATAGGTTTTAAATTTAAGATAAAATTTTACCACAATAATTATTTTATGGAATCACGTTATAGTCAAATCGAATTTCTGAATAAAAATTTTAAAATGACACATATTTTGAAATGATATAAAGCAATTTATTATCAATTATGTGCAACGCACGAGATGTGTACTAATTTTAAATAGACATTTTTATGTAATTTTGCATAATTTAAATTTTATATAATATTTTCAATAAATTATATAGGTACATTGATTACATATTGATTCTATGTAATCTCATTTATAAATATTATTTACTGATAATTTTTAATTTATAAATATAAATATTAATTAACATCTCTTATCAGTGCATCGCACGAGATTCGTACTAATATAGATATAATACGGGTTTAATGCACCAAACCCCCCTGTATTATACTAAATCTGTGTCTTTTACCCCTCTAATATAAAAATTGCGTCGGAACCCCTTCTATTAACGGTTGACGAGTTGACGCTCCCCAAGTTACGTTTGAGTGTTAACCTCGTTAATTTTTTTGTAAACTTCCCGTTATGCCCTCTTTTATATTTTATATTATACAATTTGAACCAGAAACATAATTTCTCTCTCTCAAACATAATTTCTCTCTCTCTCTCTTCGCGATCGTCACTTTTCCTTCTAAAAATTGAAGCTCCATACCCTAAATTCATATCAAAATTGAAGCCCCGCACCCTAAATTCATATGAAAATTGAAGCCCGTCAGTCTAAATTCAGATTGTTTGAGGAGTTGCACCCAATTGCATCTCTGAAATTCGACAATTTAGGGTTCTAACTTGCGGCGACTTTCATCTTGAAGACATATATGGTATTATTCGAATCTGGTATATAGTTATAGTCGATTAATTCGTTATGTTATAGTCGATTTATATAGTGAATTTTGAAATTAGGGTTTTCAGTTCTCGTGACTTCGTGCTTCTGAGATGAAATTGGGCGAAATACGATAGCTTCAGTTTTCAGTTTTCGTGCTTCGTGCTTCAGTTTTCAGTTTTATCTGATTACTTAAATTGGGGATTTTGATTTTGGAAATTAGGGATTATGATTTTTGAAATTAGGGTTTTTTGATTTTGAAGGTCTGTCTTATTTAATTGTGCTTTTCGATGAAGTTGTTTATCTGAAATGAAGTTGTTTATCTATTTGGAAAACTAGGGCTTTTCGATTTTAAGATTAGGGTTATTTGTTTGTGCTTCTGATTTTGAAATTAGGGTTTGAAACTTAGGGCTTTTGATTTTGAAATCAGGCTTAATTATTTATAGGGCTTTGATTTAGAATTAAGGGTTTTCTTATTTTGAAATCAGGGCTTTTTTTGTTTTATGCTATTAGATTTTGGAATTAGGGATTTTATGTAATTTTTGTGCTTTTGATTTAGAAATTAGGGGTTTAGGTGATGTATGTTTGAGGCATGTTTGTGCTTCAGAATCAACCATTTGAATCAATGTGCCCTGAATTGTGTTATGAATCCTATTAATTATTTTCATCTGAATCATCTGACTTAGTTTTTCTCTTCATTTGTATATTGTATTTTTTTTATAATATTGTCCCTGATTTCATATTTTATGTTGTTGTCCCTGATTGCATATTGTTTGTTTGCAGAAAATAGCTTTTGTATTTGATGTTAGAGTTGGGGGAGAGATAATATGGATGCCTTTCAGGCGATACTTTGGTGGCCAAAGAGTTGCAGTTGACTGGTACGATGTTGATAGGTTATCCATTTTTGAAATCATGGATGTCTATAGGAGAGCAGGTGGCAAAGCATTTGCAGTTGATATTTTTTCTCATAAGCCTGGAAAGACTCTTCAAACAGCAAAGAAGTTGATGCAGATTGATTCTGACAAAGATATTTTGAAGTTGGTGAAGCTATATACAGGGGAGATGGTTATACCACTTTACTTTGAAGATTTGCACGACCCTTTACAATGCATGGACCTAGAAGGAAATGTGATGTCTTCACAAAAGAACACCTCCTTATTGAATATCCATTTCTTGAAGAACCCTAACAATCACCACACCAAGAATCACCACACCAAGATGATTTGCAATCAAATAAAGAAGCTGAAACACATAATGGTGCTTCAGAGGTGGATCCTACAGAAACAAATGATGGTACTGGTGAGGTGGATTCTACACAAAGAGATGATAGTGCTGGTGAGGTGGATGGTGCTGGTGTTGCTGCTTGTGAAGCCACAGTTGATGGTGTTGTACAAAGAGATGATGGTGCTGGTGAGGTGGATGGTGCTAGTGCTGCTGCTTGTGAAGCCACAATTGATGGTGCTGTCCACAGAGATGAGACAACCAGTGCTGGTGCAAGACCCTGTTCACATGATGAAGGAGAATCCCAAACAGCTGGCCATGAGGAGGACCATCTTCATGAGGAGGCAGAACAACAATTTGAAGATGAAGTGGCAGAACAACAATTTGAAGATGAAGTTGCAGAACAACAATTTGGAGATTCAGAGGATTCAGAGTATGAACCTCAAGAAGACCGTGGTGATGGTGATTCCTCAGATTTATCTGAATGGGAATTGGAGGATTTAGAAGGCCCTGATGATGATGATATATTCCAACAGAGAGAACATGATCATGCTAAGAAGGTACACAAGAGGGCAAGAGAATGGCCGAAACAAAGAAGGAAGCAGAAAAAGAAGGCTAGAAAAGAAGCTGGTGCTGCAAGAATGTCTACAGCAGAAGATTGGTACAGTGACCCTGAGGATGATGACAAGTGCTTTGGAGAGCCTGATGAATGGATTAATGGTACTGACATGTCAAGGTTTAAGCTGAAGGTTGGTAAAAAATATGAATGCAGAGCAACATTCAAGGAGGTGATTAGAGATTGGTCTGTTAGAAAGGGATATGATTTGAAGTTCCCAAAAAATGAAGCCAAGCTTATCACAGCAAAATGTAAGAGTGGGTGTGACTGGTTCTTGAGGGCCTCAGTTATTGGAGGTTTGTCCACATTTCAAATCAAGACATTGAAAGGCACACACTCATGTGCTTACAGGACATAGAACACACAGACATACTACAAGTATCTTGGAAAAAGAATGCTAGATACTTTGAGGGACAATCCTGCTGAGAGTCTGCCAAGTCTGAAAAACAAAATCAAGAGGCATTGTGGGGTTGAGGTTAGTTTGCACAAGGCATACAGGGCCAAGGTGTATGCTCTTTCTTTGTTGAAGGTTGACTATGGGGAACAATATAAGAGGCTATATGACTACTGCTCCACAGTGGCCAAGTACAATCCTAGTAGCTCTCTTATCCTCAAGTTGAACAATGATTTTTCACCTCCAAAGTTCATGAGGACGTATGTTTGCCTAACTGCAATGAGGCAAGCATTTTTAACTGGCTGTAGGCCAATTATAGGGCTTGATGAATGCTTTCTGAAGACTCTTCATGGTGGTCAACTTCTTTCAGCAGTTGGTAGGGATGGAAATGACAATATGCTACCAATTGAAATGGCATATGTGGAAGTTGAGAAGACTGATTCTTGGAGGTGGTTCCTTGAAAGGCTAATGAGGGATGTAGACCCTTACAAGGAGAAAAAATGGACTTTTGTTTCAGATAGACAAAAGGGTTTGCTTGAAGCTGTGAGTGAAATTGATGGGGCAGAGCACAGAAATTGCTTGAAGCACATGTACAACAATTTTAAGCAAAAGTGGGAGGATCTAGAATTGAGGAAATGGTTTTGGAAGGCTGCCAACACATACAATGTCAAAGAGCATCTCAGGTGCATGAGTCAAATCCAAAAGCTTTTTTCTAAGAAGGATGGCAAGGTATTTTTCTCCTTACAAAAACATGTTGTATTTTTCATGCTTTTGTTCTTTACTTTGTGTTATTCATTTCTCAATGATCCATTCTAGCAAAACTTTGTGTTCATTTCATGCTTTTGTTCTGAATAACCTATTGTGTGTTGTGTATTTGCTGTAGGTATTTTTTATTTTTTTTTTGTTTTGCTGTAGGTATTTTTTACCTTGTGTTCATGTTTTAAACAATGTTTTACCACCAATTGCTTTGAACAATGTTTTGTGTTCATGCTTTGAACACTACATTTTGTGTTCAATTTATATTACTTTGTGTTCATGCTTTGATATGAACTTTGTTATATGTATTTTGTACTTTGAGATTTTAAATAACATCTCATTGTCTTATTTTATATTAATATAATATATCAGGAAACTCCATTTGAATGGTTGAAAGCTGTCCCTGAAGAACACTGGGCAAGGTGTTTCTTTTCTCCTAATACTGTGTGTGATGTGATAGTTAATAATCTTTCAGAGTCCTTCAACAACTACATTTTGGAAGCTAGGGATATGGCTATTGTGGACATGTTTGAGTGGATCAGAAGAAGGTTGATGGCAAGGATCCAGGTGAAGAAAGCTGGAATAGAGAAATACAGAGAGGACATTTGTCCTAATACAGTGAGAAAAATTGAAGAGCAAAGGGAATTAAGTAGGAATTGTTTCCCTACTTGGGCTGGAGAAGACAAGTATGAGGTGGTTCATGGAGTAAGCAGCCATATAGTCCAATTGGGAGCAAGAAGGTGTACATGTGGTATGTTTCAAGTGGTTGGCTACCTATGTTGCCATGCACTGGCATGCATCTCTTACCATAGGTTCAGTGTATCTGATTATGTGTCTGAATTTTTCAAAAAGGACATGTATATCCGGATGTATAGCCATATGATCTTCCCAGTTCCAGGGATGAATGACTATGAGGAGTCTGGAATGGGTCCAATTCAACCGCCTGATTCTGTGAAAAAAAGGGGTAGTCCAACAAAGAAAAGAAGAGCTGACGCTAATGACATGAGACCTATGACAACAAACAGTAGCAGAAAGGGACTACTCAAGAGATGCACTTTATGTGGTGGAAACACTCATAATAAGAGAAGGTGCCTCAAAAGAGGAGGTGAAGGTGAACAGGTCAGTCAAATTTTGAAATTTTTCAACTTTCAATTTTTTATTTTTTTTTTTAATTCAACAATCATAATTCTGTTATGGCAACATGTCACATTTTTTGCAGGCATCTCGGCCACAACAACAGCCATCTCAGCCACAACCACAACCATCTCAGCTACAACCACAACCACAAGTATCTCAGGCACAACAATCTCAGCCACAACCACAACCATATCAGCAATTTCAGCCGTCTCAGTCGTCTCAGCCATCTGAACATTCCATGCCATCTTTTGAAGATTTTATTCAGTGCTCTGGCCCTCAAACCTTCGCTCAACAAAGCTGGGAATATGGTGGTGATTGTCAGTAAACATTTGATTTCATGAACAATTGCTTTTTTATGTATGTTGGTTAGTGTTTGTGATGATGACAGTTATGGCAGTATTTTGGTGTGTATGGATATTTACAGTATTTTGGATATTTGTGGTGATGACAGTATTGTTTTGAATGCTATTGACAGTATTTTTGGCTATTTTGGCTATTGGAAGTAATGTTTTGAATGATAGTGTTTTTTACTATTTGTGGCTATTGATAGTAGTTATAACAGTGTTTTGAATGTTACATTGTTGAAGATAGATGTGGTGAGTGGAGTGGCTGGAATGGTGATAGTTTGTTTTTGTAGTTGAGGTTTGATCTAGTGTTATAGTTTGTTGTGTTTGATTTAGTTGTAACAGGCTGGAATGTTGACATGTTGACATAGTTTGTTTTTGTAGTTGTGTTTGATTTAGTTGTGACATGTTGCGCAGGTTGGAATGGTGATTTAGTTTGTTTTTGTAGTTGTGTTTGATTTAGTTTTTGTAGTTGTGCTTTCTCTATGCTTAGTTGTGTGAGTTTTCTTCTTTTGTGAAGAATGGATTACTGCATTTCATTGATGATAATAAAGGCATACATTGTCCAAATGATTACATTAATTGTCATATAAAATTACTTGACAACAATAACGGCCAAAAGGATTACAATAACCAAAAAAAACAATCCATTGCTAAATTTTTTCTCAATTTTCTCCATCTTCGACTGCACCTCTTTCAGCATTGTTACGACTTCTACATTTTCATTTTTTAGCTTTGTTCCGGTTGACTGAACTTCATCATCATCATCTTCATAACAAACTTCATCTTCATGGATTTCATTTGACTTCACCCAATTCACCGAGGCAGGTATAAGCCAAGCAAAGAAACGACATTGGTTGTGCGGACATTTGCAAAATAGTTTGCCAACAGTTTCTTTTGTAGGACCAACAACCCTAATTTCAGCAAATGTTTTGCAATAACAATTAGGGTGCTTATACCTTAGATCCAAACTCTCATTCTTTGACATCTTTGATTTTTGGGAAGTAGACATCTTCAACCTGCATTTCGAATTAAAAAAAAAAAAA